ACAACTTAGATAACACTAATAAATGGCAGTGGTGCAAAAAAAAAAAAGATTACTCTGAGGTGTTCTTTTAAAAAAAAAAAAAAAAAAAAAAAGAAACAAGCAGTTTTTAGAAGACTATCCTGAATCTATATAGTTATTTACTATACTAGCATATCAAGCTGGGTGTCTATGTGTGGAAAATATATTACAGAAGGAATTATTTCATATGTAAGGAATCATCTGATGTGCCCCATGTAGGACAGGACATTATACAATCTTCCAGTTTTTGTGGGTGTCATAAGTGAGCACCCACAATGCCATTTATATGGTAGCAATAGAAAGCACTTACTGAATGACTGAAAACAAATTTGCAGGGGGAAAATAATTTTCTCTTTACTCTTGTTGGTTTTATGTCCCATACACTTTAATACTTAGATTGTGGAGCTAGTAAACTGAATTGTGGGGAATTTTTTGCCATAAACAAGGGAGACACTAAACTTCTAACATGTAAAAAGCCTTTTTCCCCTCCCCAAGGATTAGCTATTTCCATCTTGTTAATTTTCTTATGTTAGAATTTCCAGCATGGTTTTCTTTCCTTCTGTTATAGCTATATGAATTATGATTCCTGTATTTTTGGCAACTATATATTTTACATTTTATTCATTGTTATGCTGCGAGCTCTCGGTCTTGCACAGACTTTGACATACGCTCTCCCTGCTATGCAGTGATCCGAAACAGATTTCAGAGGGAGAGCTCCTAACGAAAAAAATGAAGCAACACTTTACCATGTGGGATCTAAATAGCCCTGTCTTGCTCGGTGGCTGGATAATTGCTCAATATTCTGGACTTCCTGTGATGGGCCCAGCCTGTCTATCCAGAGCCAGGGACTGTGGTGCTGTGACATCTGATCTGTCTCTGGGAAATCCTGCATTGTCTGTGCAGTGCTGGCTGGAAATTGTGGGGCTGCTCTCACAGCTCGAGCAGAGCCCTGCACCCACGCTTCCCTGCAGAATCCAGCTGGGAAATCAGTCCAGCTGCTGTTTATTTGGGTCTCACTCTATATACCCTCCACTGTGTGGATGCACTCAAGTGGTGTCTTTTAGGGGATTTGGTGGAGAGAAGTCATCACAGTGAAAAGCAGAGACTCCTTGCTGATGCTTGGAGATCATCTGCATGTCTGTGAAAAGCTCTGTTTCCTCAGGTTGGGTCTTGAAGCCTGAAGCACATGTTTTATTACACTTTTATTGACTCCAAGAGAAAAAAATCTCTCCATTTCAGTAGGAAGATGAGGCCTCCTGACACCAAAATCTTTGTTCCAAAGATTCCATGTGTGTTCTATGGCATGTAAAGAAAAAGCTACTCAGAATATTACTTATGGAGATGCTTTCTCCACCTCTCTCATAATGGACAAACACTTGCCTGTACAGTGCTGTTATTAATCATACATCTATTATGAAATAATACAAAAAAAGTTAAAACCTGAGTGCTTACACCCAGAGTAAGCTGATACACAGAGAGGTTAGTACACATGCCTGATACCATGGTGACATGCCAAGAGGTCCTGTGTGGCTGCATGGTATGTCCCTCACTCACTCCTGTCCAGAAGTCAGGAGCTGACTGCAGATACCATTCCAGTGGAGAAGGTCTCCATGTTACATCAAATGGGTATGGCTACTTTCTTCCAGGCACTCTCTTAATGCCATTCCAACTCTTTTTTTCTGACATGGTGGGTAAGCATTTCAGTGTGTTTACACTTTTAATGGTGTTTTCAGTATTGCCAGGTGGTGCCTGATTGGGCTGTGGGAAAGCAAGGCTTTCCATGTGGAAGCTTTTCTGAGACAGCTCTCAAGGTTTCCCCTCCTGCCCAAAATGAGCTGCCATTTTCCCCTTTCTTGAGCCATGTTGCCTGTACAGGGAAGCAGTTCAAAACCAATTGGCTTCTTGTCTGTGCTGTAGGAAGCTGATGGTCTAAAATACAAGAAAGAAAAGGACAGCACCATAAAATTTTGAAAAATCTGTGCTTTTTAGTCAGCTAAATAGGAATGTATTTACTGCTGAGGTCATACAAAATTTGGTTTTTTGTGTTTACTGGCTTCATTTACAATAGAAATGAACAGAGCTCCTTTACATAAAGGTGCACATTTGAAAAATAAATTAAAAAAATAATTTTTTGTAATCTTCTCAGGAAAAAGAGACCTTGTCACTTTTGCTGTATGGTAAGAGAATCATTAATCAAGAGCAAAACACAGAAAAAGGGTGTATCAATTTGCACACAATTACCACAATGCCCTTACTTTTCCTTTAATTCATTTAATAAAAAAGTGTTTGAGGTGTGTAATGCAATTTTTTTTTTTTTTCTGGCAGAAGTCAGAGCTGCAGTCACTCTCTATGCAGTGAGCTGACTCCTACGTGGTTCAGGCAGTTAAAAATATCAAAATTACTTTCTTCCCTCCTGCTCCTCCAGGCTTTCTTCTTTGCAGATGGCAGAGGACAATATGCTGTGTCTGCAATAACACTGACTCAAAATTCCTTTCTATTTGTAAGATAACTTCCTAAAGATTGCAAGCAAAAGGAAGTCAGAGAACAAAGCAATGTCAAGTATGCACATGTCACAACACAATGTGCTGATTCCAAGCCTTTGGAAACATGCTGAAAGACATGTCTGGAAAAAAAAAAAAACAACAGGGAAGTGCTTCCACACAGGCTTTCAGCATGAAAACAACAGCTGAATGTGCCCGTTCCCACCAGGAAAAAATACCCTGAAATAACAAAAGGTGCTGGAGAGCTAGAAATGAAATCATCAGATGGCAAGAACACTCTTTTGTCTGTTCTTACATAGGCTCTACTCCCAGTGCATTGTAAAGCAAGGGATCAAGCTGGAGCAGTGTTTGACCGCAAGGTGCCAAGAAGACCAAGAAAAATGGAATGTATAAACAGGTCTCTCTTACAGTGAAGGACTAACAGAACAAAACAGGAGGAAAGCAAACACAGGGCCACACTTTCAGATAATGTATCTGCAGGAATGCAAACTCAGTGCATTCCTGATCACTCCTGTAGGTACTGAAGGCACAAAAGACAGACTCTTGAGGAGAAGGGGCATACACAGTGTTTCTTTGTGAAACAGCCTGCACACATTCCCCCCATAACCACAGGTAAATCTTTGCATCATTGGTGTACTCTAAAGATGTAGGTGCTTTCAATTAGGTCTGTCACTGTTGGCTAGCTCAGTCCAATTTTCTGTCAATTTAAGAGCTGGAGTGGAGTAAATTCCAGAGGAAAATTATGGGATCCCAGTGAGAGACGACATGCACAATGAAACACTGCAGGCATCTGACTAAAGATGCTACAGAATATCACCTCCACAGGCAGAGAGACAGCCTGCCTAAATTCAAATGAAGCAGCACCCATGAATGAATAATAACATGCCTAGGCATTTTTCTTTTAAAACTGAGAGAGAGAAATAAAAATTATCCCAAGTTTTTGCAAGCAGAAACAAACACTGAGATGAAAACCAAGTTGTCTAACATCACATATCAGCTCAGGAATAACGGCTCCATCTCCAGATTCTCAAGTGACATTATAAAGCTGTTCTTTTTTGTTAAGTGCCGAGCCCCAAAGAGCACTCAGGACAAGTGCACCTGAGAGGCTTGTTTTGCATTTGGTGCTTCTGGTTGTGCTCCCAGAGATACATGCCATAAAATGACCTCACAGTTTGCTCATGCTTTCTACAGAGTGCAGGAAAATCCCAACCTTACCTTAAGCAAGTAAGGTAAGATTTAGGCAGGTTATTTTGGTTAAAATCTAGCATAAATGTTTCTGCCAGAAATAGAAAAAGTGTTTCTGTGATTTCAAAGGCTAAATATGAAATAAGTTGAGAGAAAATATTTCTTTCCCCAGACTGCAATCTGTAGTGTCTGTCTCAAAACTATTTGTCTGCTAAATATTCCCTGTCAGTGTACTTTTGGGGATTCAGGTCTTTCTTGC